AACAGTTATCTTAGTGTTCTCCATGTGGACAAGGTATAATCCTGCACAAGTTATACAAACAAACATTTTGCAAGCAAGTCCCCCAGTATAATGTATTCAATTTTGTGCTGAATAGCAACCTGGGGTATGCAATTATATTTCACAATTATATTGATATCAATGGATATTGATACAAGCTATTACAATGAAACTGTTATGTCCGCATGATTCTGTAGTTATACAATTATAGAAAAACAACTCCAACTTTAACTTTGCTTCATTCAGAGTTAAAGTTAGGGTAATTTGGCTAATTTGTATTGCTACAAGATCATACAGACATAACCTGTCCCCTTTTAAAGCATTTAAAATGTCCTTTGTCCATATCCACTGTCAATAGCATAACTTGGAGGGGTGAAGGGAACATGAGTGCAAGGTGCTGATCAAGGGGGTATGCTGGAATGGACACAGGGCATGCTAGAATGGATGCAGCTATGCTGCTACTCTGATATCTACAGGATCCAGCTATATGCAACAGGGAAAGAAGCCAGAAGGTGAGAGGAGTCTCAGCATTATGGACTCCAGGGGAAGGAACCAAAGGGGTGAAGGCAGGAAGCAGAGGGGTGAAGCTGAACCCTTCTTTTACAATGGCACAGTTGTTTCACTCTTCTTCATGAAAATTCAAATAGTTAACAGACTATTTAACAGACTAAATAATCTATGGCATAATTGGTAGCTCATAGGAAAGTTTTGAGAAAAGGGAAGGGCATCGATATTTGCAGGGCTACTTGAAATCTTGTTCCAAATGAAAGTAAGTAGAATGAAAGAGTGAATGAATGAACAAATTCTAGCAAGACCTTAAAATGTAAGTGCTACTCCTGGAGAGGGGTCATGCCAAGACTTAAAAATGCAACCATGTTCTTGCTTTTGGAAGGATAACAAGAGTTTTGGTCAGTTCCACTTAATGCAGGGGGCCAGATCTTCTGTCCCAATTAGTCTACTTTGCACCACTCTAGCACCACAAAATAACCTTTAAGTTGGTTAACTGGCATTCCCCTGAAACAAGGGAATTTTTTGGTGATGTAAAGTATACTAAAAGTATACAAAATGAATACCAAATGTCAGCACAATAGAAGAAAGTGAAAGAAGAAAGTAGTTATTATGAGTTCTATTTTATATTTTATATGCTGTGCTGATAAACTGCTTTCCAGATGTCCACTATAGAGGCTTTTTTCATTACTTTAAAGTGACATTCCATGTTTTAAAGAAGGAATGTAACCTCATTGTGTTAGAAGAAAGGTACATTGTGTTTTTTTCAAACTCAGAATAAAGAATTAGTTTTCTGAGATTTTTTAAATACAGATAATTAGACCAAGGTTAAGGTCTTGATTTTAATTAACTTTAAGAAGTTACCATCTGCGTCAGTCATCTTTTTTCCTTTGTTAAGGTCAATGGGAACAATGTAGGTGCTTCAAGCTCTCCATGTAGTTAAAATTCATTGAAAATCTTGCTTACAGATTATGTTTGAAGTAATTAGTAATAAAGCCGAATTTTTAGTAATTAAATGTGTTTGTTATGCTTATACGGACTACTGACCGGCTTGGGTCTACAGTGCAGATAAATGAAATGAGGCCACTGTAATAGCAACCAATCATACCCTCCTTCAAATATTAATTTGCATGCAGTTATTCTATTAGTTTTAAGGACGCAAAAGTCTGAAGAAGGCCAAACAAGTCTCTAGAGTTCTGCCTGACAGTTTTCTTCACCCACCTGTCACTAGTTGCATGGCTGGGTAAAGCAAACACTTTAACCTGGGTTTCTACCACCTAAAGGCCATTCGTGCCCCTCTCTTTCCTCCCATCACCTCCTGTGAAATGTCATGTTTAATTTTTTTTTTAAGTTGCATTTCATTCTAGGCTGGAACAGCAACAACAAAACTAATTTCAGACCTTTGAAGCCTGTCATGTAGTTGTTAAAGCTCTGACAAATGCGGGCAGTTCAGAGTTAAGATTCTACTTAAAACAAAATCAGATGTGTCAAGGTACAAAATACAGAATCCTGGTGTTAATTTTGGCCTGCAATCATGTGATGAAGGTAAAAGTACAAAAGAAAACTATATATTGAAAAGAACAGTTTAATTTAATCAAATACATCAAGATGCCTTTACTGCTCTCATATTATTGTAAGATGTCATTACAGGTGGTGGAGTGCCAAGTTGTTAGGGTACACTCCCTAACGTCAACATTTTATCTTCAGTAGTGGTATCTGTTCTCCCCTCCCTCAGTAGACTCTTTCAGCAAGAACTGTCAATCTCCATTGCATTAATCATTGCTTCTGGTTGCCCTTCAAATGACTGAGATCCCTTTAACTTCTAGAAGGGGCAGTTTGTCAGTCTTATTGGTATGCTGTGTCAATGACAGCCCATGAAGCAAAGGCATCCCAAGAGGTCAAGTAATCTACTTATATAACTTAGCTATATGATAATAAGTGGCATACATTATAGTTATGCTTACAGTTCCTTTTTAAAATTTTCTGTCCCTTTGCATCAGTGTCCCATTATTTGTTTTTAAACATGTATTCTGTAGTAGCCCCTCAGGGTCAACCTTGCCAGAACCCCACTGTTGTTGCAAAATTTAAAAATGACAGTTCCTGCCCCAGAGAGCTTACAACCTTAAAGAAGGACCCCTCTCTGCCCTCATACACACACATTCACAAAGTTTATAGTTAGATATAGGGTTGGACATAGGCATGGGTGAACCAGGTGGCCACTCAGGGCCCAGACAGAAAGCGGGCCGGAAAATGGTAATTTTTTAATTATTATCATTTTCTCTGGTGAAGGGGGACCCGATACAAAAGTTCACCCAGGGCCACCAGGAGTCTAGGTATGGTGCTGGTTAGATAGAAAATGAGACAAACAAAGG